TCGAAAGGGTTACCATCAGAACGAGCTCGGTCATCCTCAGGGAGAACCGATTGAAGGTAATTGAGGACCTGAAGGGGATCAGGGATGTCGTAAAGCCAGGAAGGTTGTTGCAGGGTCACAGACTGCACCTTCACGGGAGACGACTGTCCCCCATCTTTTTCGACCGTCGGCTCTTTCCCCTTCTGACTCTTCGAGGTATCGGACACCAAAGCTGCGCCCTCCTGATCCTGGGGCCTCTTGCGAGAGTGAGAGCCCGTCACTTGACTCGGCTTAGAAGCCGAAGGAAGCACAACTTTGGACTTCCTGGCGGCAGCCGTCTCGACTACCGCAGTTGGAGCATCAGATCCTGAACCCCCTTCAGACTTCTGGGGAAGAGCTGGCTGAGCGACAAACTTAGAAGTCGCCTCGGTCTTTTTCTTCTGAAAACGTTTGAGCGCATGCACTGTCGAAATGGAATCATAGCAACAACAATTTTAAGTATTTACACAATCACGAGGTAAAGAGATATGCAGATAAGTACAGAAGGTCGGGAAGGACTAAATTAATAAGAAAAAAGTCTTACGCGGATCCTCAATTCGAGGAGCGTTCTTGTCGACACAAATCCCGACATGATTCAGGAGGGAATTATCTTTAGTTAATTGACGGGCACTCCATACATACTTATTCAATTACGTCAACATGTTCGCGAACCGCGAAGACTTAGGATGCTTGCGCTGCTCGGGTTTACTGGTAATCCACTCATTCGAAAAAAGGTATTGGCCAGGGGCAGGACGAATGAAGAAATACTTTTTCTTCCATTCGGTAATGTTTGAAGAAAGGTCGTCCAGGAAGGACACACCCGCTCGACGACCCAGGCAGTGGGCATCTTTGCTAAATCTATAGCCATAACAGTAAAGGAAACATTCGGGTATGAAGTTACCTATAACTATACGAGTGACAACTATGAAGGCCACCATTATTCGAATAGAGTTGGGAGTGAACTGGTTTATTGGTATATCATAAAGGTTGCTCAGTGACAGCAACTCAGGTTGAATCGGGAAGCGCAGTCCCGACATTATTTGATCGACGAAAAAAGTATAACAGCCGCGAGGAGGGTGCCGGAAGTCATCCTCAGGGGTAGGAGCAACCACTCCCCAGTCGGAGGGAAGGCCACTGAACTCTCTGAAGCCGTCGATTTCGGCTGCAGGAGCATAAGAAAAAGGGGATAAAAAAGAGAAAAAAAGAAGAGAAAAAAGAAAAAAAAAAGGGAGCAACTAAATTTGCTACGAAGCATACTACAATCACAGGCCCCATCATAGAAGTAATTGTTAACGAACGCGTAAAGGATATAGGAATGTCGAAAGGCCTAAGGAAAATACCTCGAGAGATTAAACTATGTCGAGGAGATCTGAGAACACAAGGGGCTGCAGGGTCCTCGAAAAGAGCGCCTGATAGTAACGCCTGATTGTATACGTCCCAATCAATACCAAAGGGCGAGGCACTAGAATTAACAGATCCCTCCGACTCGATATTTTTATTGACACTCGGTCTAACATCAATTATTTGGACAGAGTCGGAACCCAAATAATCGTCGATTTCACGGGCAAGAGAGCCGGACACAGGGTCAGAAGCAGGGGCGGAGTCAGAATCAAGAAAAGAGAGCGGCGATCAATTGAAGTAATGGCAGCCGCGATTCGACTCCCAGGATTATAAGCCCATGAAAGAAGTAAATCAACCGACTCGACAGGGGGTAAAAGAGTAAAAAAAAAATCCAAAGATCCGCGAGCCGACTTTAAAGTAGTCGGTTCTAGGAAAGAGAAATATCAAGCCAGAAATAATCGAAGAGAAACAGGAGGATCGATATCGAATCGATTGATGAACAAAAACAATTGGAGAAATGGAAAATCTACAACTAAAGATCTAATAGGAAGGTCGCTGGAAATTCATCCAAAAACCCCAAAAAAACCGACGAACATACAGAGTCAAAGCGCATCACCAAAAAAAAAAAATCATCACACACTGCAACAAATCGAAAAATAAGAAACTTACACATGGTGGCTGATGATGTCCCGGTAAATTTGAGGAGCGTCGGAATGTGAAGGGAGGCGTCGGAGAACTTAGGATGCTCTGCTTGCCGGAGAACTTAGGATGCTCTGCTTGCCGGAGAAGAAGGAAGTTCGAGAAATTTGAGTGCGAAATGTGTGAGAAGAAAGAAGGGAGGGGGATTTATAGGAAAAGAAAAGAAATCCTGGCCCTTAGATCAAAGGAAGATCCAACGGACGAAGTGATGCACGGAATACGAAGCGGTGGAGAGAGAAACGTCTTATCAGATTCTAAGCCTTTTTTGAAATTCGAAATTCGAAAAGGTATTCGAGCTTATCCGATCAATGTGAAAATCTCCCCAGGTAAAGCAGAACTTCTTGCTAATCGGAGGATAAATACAGACGACTGGGAATAAGGAGATCGATTAAGAAGGAATCCTATGAGGATCCAGTTAACAAATTTACTCGTAAGCTCAGAATCGCTTCGAGTAATTTTCGGGGGGGGGGG